AGGCTGAGGAAAAATCATGTGCATAAGCACAAAGGTAAAGTTATAAGCTTCTATTTAAGCGTTATGTTACTTCATCCGTTTGAGGGTGATATGAGGAACTAAATTTCAAACTTGTACCTTGAAGGTGAAAAAGAGTTCTCCAAAAATTGCTAAAAAACAGAGGATCACAGTCAGAGACGATAGATTGTGGCATACCAGGGAGTTTACCAACATTATGCCAAAAAACAAGGGCAACTTTACTTGCCGTGTACTGAGTTGGTAAAGGGGAAAAATGGGTGCCTTTGGAAAAATAGTCTACGACCACCAAAATTGCTGTGAAACTAGAAGACAGAGGTAGGTGGGTTATAAAATCCATGGCTAAGTCAGTCCAAGTTTCTTCTAATAGAGCTATTGGTTTTAATAAACTAAAAAGGGAGGGATTAGGAGGTTTGATCTTCCGACATATTTCACAATTTTGTACAAATTATGTGACATCTTCTTTGATTTTTTTCCAAGTGAAATTTTAATTGATACGTAACAATGTCCCACGTATTCCAGAATGGCCACCTTGTACCGAAGAATGCAGATCTCGGAGTAAATGAGGAATGAGCTCAGAATTTGCAGGTAGGAATACTCTGTGGCGGTAAAATAGCAGCTGATCCTTAATGCGCCAATGAGGATGAGAAGCTGGATTAAAACTTAGTGCTTGTATAATTGTTGTAGCTCAGGGGTCATTTTTCAACTCAGTCTGTAATAAGGATCTGTAATCACTTAATGGGCCTGTAAATGTTGCAAGCAGAGGTGGATCCTCTTCTGGAGTGATCTCAGGATGTCTAGAGAGGGCATCTGCTACTTTGTTGGCTTTTCCAGATTTGTGGACGACTGTATAGTTGAAGCCCAGTAGTTTAGATAGGAATTGTTGTTGCTCTAGTGTCAGGACAACCTAATTCATTAGGTTGTGCCGACTTTTATGATCAGTGTAAATGGTGAAAGGCACTCCTAGTAAGTATTGCCGCCATTTGGCAACGATAGAGGTGATGGCAAACATCTCTCTAACGTAAGTTGACTTGCCTCTCATCGTAGGAGAGAGTTTCCTGCTATAGAAGGCAATTGGGTGGCTTTTTTTGCAGTAAAATAACCCATATACCAACGCCTGATGCGTCTGTTTCTATTATGAATGGCTCATTAAAATTAGGCAAGGATAATAATGGGGCCTCAGTAAGAAAAATCTTTAATTTATTTAAGGCATCTTCTGCATCTTGGGACCATTTGAACCCATGCTTAGTGAGCAGATTTGTTAAAGGGCGAGTAATGGCTGCATAGTCTTTTTATAAACCAATAGTAGTATCCAGACAATCCTAGGAAAGTGCGCACTTGAGTCACTGAAGTAGGTATTTAGAGTTTCTAGGGATCTGGTGACACACCTTTCCTAGATATCAGTTGGCCCAAAAAGTGAATTGTCTATTGTTCAAAGTGACACTTGGATAATTTGTCATATAAAGAATGTCTCCTCAAGGTGGACAAGACAACATATAAATGGTTAATATGGTATTGTAAAGTAGAGCTGTAGACTAATATATCATCAAAAAAGATCACCACAAAGCGACGAAGAAAGGGAGAAAAAACCTCATTCATGGTCGCTTGAAACGTAGATGGTGCATTAAAGAGACCAAATGGCATAACTAAAAACTCATAGTTGCTCTGGTGGGTGCGAAATGTTGTTTTGTGGATGTCATCCGGTGCCATTTTGATATGATGATACCCTGAACGGAAGTCCATCTTAGAGAAAATAGTGGCTCCATGTAATTCATCAAGTAACTCGTCAATTGTGGGTATGGGGAATTTATCTAGAACAATAATGGCATTAAGGGCTCTGTAATCAACAGAGAAACACAGGTGCCATCTTTTTTTTTCACTAATAAAACTGGGTAGCTAAAAGAGGATTGGCTGTGGTGAATTTGAGTATTTTGTAGCATTTCATCTACCAATTTTTCTATCTTATTCTTTTGGAAATGTGGGTAACGGTATGGTCTGACTTACACCGATTTTGAATTCGGGTAGAGTAGAATGTGGTGATCATTGTGTTTGGTTGGGGGAAGAGTAGTGGGCTGAACAAATACATCCTAGAAGGTATCCAAGAGTTGCAGTACTGCTGGAGATTGTATGGTAGTTTCTGTTCCTCTAATTTTCGAAGGTTGATTAGTAAAGCACATCAAGCAAGCCTACTCTAAATCTTGGGTCACCAATTTCTACAGTTGGGATGTGGAAATAGGATTGGCCTGAAGTAAGTGCTCTCCATGTAACAATACTTTGGTACCTTTATAATCAAAAGACATTGTGAGATCTTTGTAATCAGTGAGAATAGGGCCTAAAGTGGATAACCATTGTACACCAAGAATAATATCGGCCCCTTTTAATTCCAATACAAATAAATCAACGTTGAAAGAATGAGATTGGATCAATAAAAGAGTATTATGACATATTGTAGAAGATATGAGTGAATCACCATTTCCAACATGTACCTTAAAGGGATTAGTTGACACTAACAACAGATTAAGAAATTGGGGCATCCGCGGTGTAATGAAATTGTGGGTACTTCCCTCATCCACCAGTATTTATACTACATGACCAACAATAAACCCCTGTAAGCGAAAAAAACCGAGGAATGAATGCCAAATAAGGCGTTAAAACTGATCTTAGGCAACACCTCAGATTCCGGTGGAGGTTCTTCCAATAATAAAGCCCTGTCAGGGTCATCCTCCACCCCTTCCAAGTAGAGCAAGGTTGCTCTCCCCTTGCATTTGTGACCCATGACGAATTTTTCATCACATTTGTAACATAGATTCTTTTCCTTTCTGGCTTGCATTTCTGCCTGGGTTAGTCGACGAATAGGAATGGCTGGTATAGGATTTGCATGGTCTAGTTTTGATTGTGGAGTTGGATTTGCAGGTACTGGTGGTGAATGGTTTGTGGCAGATAAATGGTTGGCTGAGTACCATGTTTTTTGAGGTTTCTCATCAGTAAGAAGGTCTTCATACACTTTGGCTAAGGCATAGGCTTCATGAAAGTCTTAAGGTCTGTGTGTGAGTACTAAATGTCGGATCTTAGGTTTTAAACTCGATATGAAAAAGCTCTGTAACATGGGATTAGAAACTGCAGGGACTTTGCTCACAATCTTTTAAACGTTGCCTGGTATTCAGTAACAAATCCAAATTGTTGGATTTTTAATAAGGCTCCTACTGGATCTTCAAACTCCAAAATGATATTGTAAGGCCACACAAAAAGCATCCCAATCATGTAAACAAGCATCTTGAAAAGAACCATTAAACCAGTAAGCAGCAGGATCGACCAAATTAATTGTAGCTAATAACACGCGTTCATGAGCAGGAATGTTGTAAAATTGAAAATACCTGACAGCTGTTGCTATTCACGAAGTAGGGTCGCCTGAAGAGAACTTGGGAAAATCGAGCATAACAGTGCGAGCTCTGTTAGTATTGGATCCAGATTGAATGATATTGTCACTCAGACCAGCACCAAGAATACCCATATTGGAGTTGCTGGTGTTTGACGATGAATGTTGTTGCTAGAGTGTAATAGGGCGTGCAAGATCCTGATGTAAAAGAGAATTGGATTTTGTAAATTGGTTTGCAATTCCTGAAGACTCAAGTATTGTCGCTCACATAACAATTCTGCAACGTCTAATCATTGGTGTAATGCATAAAGTTTGTGATTTAGTTCTTGCTGAAGTGAATCAACTCTATTCGAAACATCTTTGAGACAGTATTCTCAGCCATTGTATGTGAGGGTAAGAGTGCAATGGAAGCACCAAATGTTAAGAGTAAAGATCAGAGAGGAAAAAAAGATAAAGGAGAGAGAAGTTGTTGCAACTGTATCATATGCCTTTTTCATTTCTCTTTCGTTCCTATTTAAACCTCTATTAAAAAATGTAGAAATATAAATTGTTTGCTATTACAATTAAAATAACTATTCCATACGATAACTACAACCCACTGGACACATATATGGGTTACCTTAGTTAAATGTACCGATCTAAGTATGCTGCACATTTTGGGTTACATTTGGGCTTGGACATGGGATGTTTCGTAACACCAACACCACTTGTTATCATATATATCAAATACAAAGTCCAAATTGTTAAATTTTAGGGTTTGTGTTTTCTAAAGTTACTTTAGATAACTTTATCTAATGTTCACCGAAACGACGTCGTTTTGGGACAGAAATCATGGTGTTTTTGTAATATTAATTTATTTCAGGGTTATAATAGTCTTTATCATTCTAATTTTTTTAATTTTTCAACCCCAAAACGACGTCGTTTTGATGAACATTAGACAAAGATGTCTAAAGTAACATTAGATACTTTTTTCCCTAGATTTTAATCTCGGTTACATTCTCTTTTTTCTTAAATTTTAGTCCAATAATTAAGTTTGTATAGTAAAATAAGACCATAAAAAATAATGAGAAAAGTATTTCTCCGGTCACTGTAGATAAAGTTATTTACTGTAAGCTCAAAATGTCATCGTTTTGAGGTTATAAGATTAAAAAATTGGGGCAGGATATACTTACCAAAAAAAAAGTTTACCACTCTTACAACCAATTTAATCACCGTTGATTTCCGTCAATCTAACGGTTATAATCTATTGAGAATTGATAATTAATTAATAAGTGTGACACAATAAACGTTATTAATTTCCAATAAATTATAACCGTTAGATTAACGGAAATCAACGGTGATTAAATTGATTATAAGAGTGGTAAACTTTTTTGGTGGTAAGTGGATCTGTTCCCTAAAAAATTATAATGATAAAGACTAATATAACCTTGTAATATATTAGAATTACAAAAGACACCTTGATTTCTGTCCCAAAATGATGTCGTTTTAGGTTCACCGGAGATAACTTATCTATATAAAGTGGAGAAATTCTTTACCCAAAAAATAAATACTATATACAAATGTAATTCATTTCTTCTTTTGAAATAATTCGTTAACTCCCACCCTGGCATCAATCCCCTGCAACTAACTGCAAGTCCATTCAAGGTACCAAAAGAAAAAAAAAATACCTACCAGTCTTTTCCCTTACAATTTTGCTTTTATTTACACTTCTCTTTATTCTTCTGCACTCAACAATATTAAATAATTAGATAAATAATCTTGAGAAATATAGCCCAAAACCCTTCTGTTTCAGGAAGTTTCCGACAATTCTTGATCTACACGCCCATGGCTTCCAACGGTTCTTCTCTGGTATATCTCTCTCTCTCTATATATATATATGTGTGTGTGTGTGTGTTTTTGAGGTGATCGGAATATTACAGGTAGTTGCTGCGGATACAGAGAATAGCTTGGATAGGATCAAGCGGCAGCTATCTTCTGGTTCTGGTAGAAAATTGTTACAAGGACCACTTCTCAAGCGATCTGAAACAGTAATTTGATCCTACTTTTAACTTTTTAGTTTCTGGGTATATGTTAATATTGATTTTTGATCAATTGGGTGTATGTATATGCAGTTTCATTACTGACCCATTTGTGGGATTTTGTTGATATTTGCAAATTTAGCTCCAAGTTCCTATTTTTATTGCATGGAGATAGTAGTGATCATTTTACAATTCCGTTATGTTTTGGGTTTTGTAGTCCTTTGAATAATCATTGTTATTTTTCTATACAGTAGTGTCTTGAATCCTGATGCTTTTAGAAAATGCCGTGATGTATCTGTTTGACTTGTTAGCTAGCTCGTGCCAATTATTTTTGTGTTTGCAGCTAAGAAAGTGGAACGAGCGATGGGTAATCTTGGATCCAACAACAGGGCGAATGGAATACAAGTAGGTTTATAAGTGTTGTTCCTTATTGTTTGTTGTATTTATGTTTTGAAACACTGATTACTAAACTTTTATGTTCTCTTTGCAATAGGACTAGAAGAAATGAACCAGCTGTTAAGGGAACGATTATATTTGATGCAAATAGCACGATTACTATATCTCCTGTGAACTTCAAGTAAGAATGATCCTGTCTTGAACAATTTCCAGTTTCAAAATTCTGCCGGGTGAAGTTTATTTTGTATGCTCATTGACATGGTGCTCCTACATTTCTGTGTTTTAGTGGACTACCAAAATACGATGGATGCTGCTTTTGTATCCTTTTGATATTGTTATCTGTTTTCGCACTTAACAATCATCAGTTAGTCAGTTACTAACAATTGAATGAAAATCTCTCTACTTGTGCCCTTCTTAACTGTTTTCTTAAGATATTGGGACACCTCAGAAAAAGGATTACTTCCTCTGTGCAGAGACTCCTGGTGCAGCTAGGGCTTGGGTGTCAACTTTACAGTATGTTTTCTAGTCTAGTCCCACACCCCCTTTCTTCTCCCTTTCTCCCTTTCTCCCTCTCTCTTGATGCAATTTTTCGCAAATGATATATTTTCTTACTAGTTATATAGTTTTGCAATATATTATAGCGTATGATAATTTTCTTTCATATTTAGAAACTTCCATATATTTTTGAAGTGGTGTTGCTTGTGAGTGTAATATTACATGCCATACCAATTCAACTTCTAGATTAATAGTTGTAATTTAGATTGATTGGAATTTGGAGATTACAAATTTTATAGAAGAGGTGTTTCGAAGATTCATGAATTGTTAGTCATATGATTCAGACCATAAAAGGATACTGCCATATCTCTGTTGTAGAGCATGTAAGTTTTACTTAAGAAAAAAGTTGGTGGCCAGGTGTGAGATTGCATAAGAAATGAGTGCTCATCAACTCTTTGCTGAAGAGGTGCTGATGGTTTAAGGGGTGATCCTTTCTTCTTAAATCTTTGTTTGGCACTTGGAAGTGTAACTCTTCTTCACTCAGCTAAAATGTAACATTTTTATACTTCGAGAAGTATTTGTATCTGGTTTGAAGTTTTTTCCTATGGAAGAGTAAATTTGGGACTGAGCAAATTAGTGTTGTTGAGCCCAGTAGAAGAATTTGGGAATCTACCTGTCTTTTATCATAGAAAGAAGTAAACTTGTGAATTTCTTATGTTGTTGTTTATCTCTAGACACTTCTCATAAGTCCTGTTGAGATATATAAAACCATTAATGTAACCTCACCCAACAGCTTAAGCTTTTGGGTTGAATTGGTTCTTTACATGGTATTAGAGCCTCGTGTCCCGGGTTCGATCCTCACCGCCCCCCACTTTCTTTCTAGTGGAATTTCTTTGTTCGCACAGGTAGGTGGGCCTGTGCATTGTCCACCCTTCAAGCCCAGTGGGCTCTCGTGTGAGGGGGCGTGTTGAGATATATAAAACCATTAATGTAGCCTCACCCAACAGCTTAAGCTTTTAGGTTGAATTGGTTCTTTACATGGTATTAGAGCCTCGTGTCCCGGGTTCAAAACCTCGCTGCCCCCCACTTTCTCTTGTGGAATTTCTTAGCACAGGTAGGTTGGGCCTGTTGCATTGTCCACCCTTCAAACCTAGTGGGCTCTCGTGTGAGGGGTCGTGTTGAGATATATAAAATCATTAATGTAACCTCACCCAACAGCTTAAGCTTTTGGGTTAAATTTGTTCTTTACAAGTCCACATCATAGTAAGATCCTTTTACTAAATTAATCGAAAGCAAGTTATTATTCTTGTAGAATCTTATTTGTTCTGAGAGTTAGACTTGCTCGTCCAGAAACTGCTGTGTTGAGTCTGTGTCTCCTCCTCATTTTCTTTCTTCACCATTTCAACTTGTGTAGCACGCATAATTGTGGAGCTTTAGAGGATTATTTAATAGACTGGAATGGCTCTATTAACACCTAGTTATTGGAAAGTTGTTTGTTCTTCTCAATTTCCAGGTTGATTTGAAATTGAGAAGATAATGATTAATGAAGTCTTTCTGGAAAATTATGATGGAGATACACCACTGCTGATTGAGAGTAAAGTTGAAGAAAGTTGCCTGCTTCCCTATTTATGCAGGACATGAGTTGGATATATAGAATGGCTCAGATAATATTTTAAAGATTTTGAGGTTTGAGGAAGATAATAGTAAAGGAAAAAATCGTATGATTTATGGTTGCTAAAAGGTATTAGAAGTATAATTTTCTTGGTTCTTTGATGGAATTAAAGGAGGCAACAGTTTCAATGTATAGGATTTATTCGTTGGACCCCTGGGCAAGGAGGAAGGCTACTTGGCGATCTTCTTGTGTGTTATTTATTGAGTGTCTAAACAAGCGAGGGAATAAATTTAAATGTGCTTGAACCTAGAAATATTTTAATTTCAACGTGGAGTTTATTTACTGGCTGGATTGCTTGCAATTTTATTTTTGAAAGTGACGCTCCTGCGTCCTTGTTAATATTATTCGAGAACCATTAATGCAGCATCATCCTTTCATAATATCCTGGCTTTTATAAACAGTGTATTTTATATTCTTTGGAATAGTCTGTTGTGTGCAAAAGAACATCTGCAGAATGTACACTTTCCTAATCACTAAAACTGCATTTCATGAGCAATGATGTTCTGATTAAAATACTTGAATATTAGGTCTTTGACTATGTTCTTCCTGCTCCCCCATCTTTGCCCCTTGAATTTGTGCACTTCAAATTGTGAGGGAAAAAGATATAAATATAAAAAACTATTGTCATGTGATGGTGAAGCTTTAATTTCAATGTTTCTTCTAACATTGTTTTCTATAAGCTATTCTTGCTTTCTGCTATAATGGATTAATTTCTATGATTTGAGACTGCTTATTTCAGATTTTCTTGCTTCATTTGATTTAATTATTTCTTTGTCTGATGTATTTCACTATTTGACATCAGTGCAACTCAGTTGGTTCTAAAAGCTCACAAGGAGGCTGTAAATTCCTTAAGTGGCAATGGTTCTACAAAATTAGGAACTGTTGCAACGGTTGTTGCTGCAGCCAATTCAACTGCTTTGGAATGTTCTAAAGAAATTGAAGCAGCAATGCAAATTTCTTTGCGAAATGCTCTGGGAGTGATGACAAACAAGACTACTGATGGTCCAATGGATGATTTAACAATCATGAAGGTGCACTGCTTTATTCCATCTTTCCTTATTTTGATCATTAAATGAAAACATAGTAGTTAATTGCGCCGCAATAGCGCCGCGAGCCGCGCCGTATGGGCGTTGCGGTGCCTCGCCGCAAGAAACCGCGCCGCGCCACACCGGAACGCAATAGCGGCCATTGCGGTCGCATTTGTGGCCATATTACTGTTATAAGGCAAAATGTCAATTTTGTCTTAAATTTAAATGTGTAATAGAAAAAATTTAAGGGTTTTTTAGTCTATCCGCGTCTCTCTCTATCACTTCTGCTATCTCTGCCTTTGAAAAATGTTTCTTTTTGTCATTATTTCTGTCATATATCTATTCCGCTATTTCCGCAACCGCAACCCGCTATAACGCTATAGCGTTTTTTGGGGTTGGCCGCGACATGCCGCAATCCGCATTTGATAACTATGAATGAAAATATGTTCCATCTTTCCTTGAGGGCCCCACATTATGGGCCTAGCTTTTCTTTACATTATAGTATCAGAATAAATATTCTTCCTTTTTGAATAGGTTAGGTGGCTGGTCTTTTTGAATACTTACTTTTACTTAGTCCCTGCTTCCAATAATTAAATGTTAATTTTGTCACTGATTGGGGGTTAAAAGAGGGAAGAAAGATATTCTTTGTGGTGGCATTTCTGGTCGATGTGGTAATTGTTGTAGAACAATTCCATAATGGTGCAGGATCAAATGCTGGTATTACAAAAAAAAAAAATTAAGTCTTTGTTACCTAATAATAAATGAAATCCCAGTAATGAAGAAATGGGGAGCAGATACTGTCTCATTTTTTATCTGTGTCATGTATTAAACAATAAAGTATTTCTGTCAATGGCATAAATAGTAATGTTTGTGATTGTATTTATTTTTCCTTTAGCTTTTATGGTTAGATAGTCTGCCCTTAAATCTGCTGTATGTTTGCTATACTGAGCTTTACAGACTTCTAATTTATGTTCATTTGCTAAGAAAATTAAGTAAAAGAGAGAAGAAGAAAAGAAAAGTGTCTCACAGTTGATCGTGTTAGGGTCAAGGATAGCCCAAAACATTTAAAAGATATGCATCCAATGGACTTGCTAAGAAATCACACCATTGTGCTCGGCAGTTTATGTTAACCCAAAACCTTCAACATTAAGCCTATGAATCTTTCTACTTATAAAGTTCTTACTTTGTCTTCCAATATGAGACTTGTTTACTCACTCATTCAGGACTCCACTCACACTTTCCCCTTTGGGCAGAAATATTTTTATTTTTGTGTGTGTATATATATTGAACAGTCAAGTGAGTTAACAATCTTAACAAAGAGCACATTCTACCCAGCCTCATTTTCAAGAGTCACATCTTGATTGTGTTACTACTTATCACCAAACTAGGCCATATGCTCTATATACTTGTACCGAATAGGCTCATCCTAACCAGATTTTTGACTCATACCGCTTATTAGGGTTAGGGAGAGCTCAAAATGCCGTGGAGATCTACATCGAATGGACTTAACCATGATGTAGGACAACCTAAGAGTATTTCTCTTGACATTGTACTCCCTTGACAAACCTAGGGAACCTAGGCATAGAAAGATCTAACAGAGCAGAACCTAGGAAATGAAATCATAAATCTTCTTCTAGGTCCGATTAGCATTTGATGCAGTACTATCCTTCCACTTTGCAAAGCAGTGGTGAAAAGGAGGAGCAAAGAGCTGACATTTTCATCATCCAAAATATCCTCAATCTCATCTAACTGCTGGAAAAGAGTAGGAACTCTTTTTTTCTCACACTTGAATTGCTAATAATCTTTCATTTAGGTGCGAGTTGATGAACAAGTACATTTCCCCTTGGGCAAAAGCCTTTTTTTCTGTGTTTCCAACAATTAACAATCTTACCAATGAGCACATTCCACCAAGCCCCTTTTTTCCATGAGTCACATCTTGATTGTGTTACTACTTGTCACCAAACTGTGGAAAATGCTAGTTTGCATCCAAGCATGTGGAGATGTGGGAGTGAATTAAATACATCTCAAGATAGCTCTGACTTGCTCATCGCCCGTATCATACGAGTACTCTAAAGGCTCTACTATCTTATCCTCAACATCATCTGACTCTAAAGGTGCCTGATGAGTTTGTAGTTAAGGCAAGATTCTCATGTGGGCACTGATTCGGCCTTTGTCCTGGATCACGATAATGAAAGTGCTCTGTTAGACAAAGCAAACTAATTAGGAGCAGTGGCATATGCCTTACCAGGTTTGGAAGACCTATTGGTAAACATAGAATTAGAAGTGGGGCTAATAGTGGGCCGAGGAATAGCTCCATATTGGGAAGGATAAGGGCGAGAAGGTAGGGTGGAGAAACCCCTCTGAACAGGTACCCTAGGAAATTGCTCTACCTTCCTAGGTTTATGAAAGGTCTTATGAAGTGTGGAGGGGGATAGAAGTTGCACCTCTCTCTTGGTATCTTCTCGTAACCCATTAACAAACTTATTAACAGAGATCCAAAACTCTTCCTGAATGTCATACCCAAGGATTAGGCTCTCAAAACTAGCCATGTAATCAAACATAGCACTAGATAACTTCCAACTTTTCAATCATTGGTTCATCAGATGGTTCTTATGGTAGGTAGGGAAGCATTTATCTTGCAATTTCTGTCTCATGCCCAACTATCTATAGGCTCTAACCCTCTTTGAAGTTGCTCTCTCTCTCAATAGTACCCCATTACAATCTAGCAGAGTCAGTAAGCCTAGTGTTGACTGACTTAAAGCTTATCTGTTTGTGGTTTTCTGCCTCTTGTAACAAGCTCAAAGTTTAGTAAGCTTTAGCTTGAGGGAAAATGTTAAAATATTAGGTTATTAGCCTTATTAGTGAACTTAGGCTTGTACTAGTAGTACTCAACGTAAATGTTAGTATGAATAGAGCATTGAGTTAAAGTATCATATCACATAATATCAATCATATATTCAATATACTGTTGTTAGCTGTCTTTCTCGCTTTTCTGTTATCATTACCTAAACTCTATAATTTCAACTGATCACCAAATAGGGCCATTAATACCAATAGTCAAATTGCCTCTAGTGCAAACTTGGGTGGTTAGAAAGAAGATTACTTATTCTGATATTATACTGTAAGGGAAAGCTTGTCCCATAATGTGGTGCCCTTATATGTTTGAAAACTTAAAGCATCTGAAGTGCGTCTATATTTGAAGTTCATTCTGTTCCACTCTAACCCTCCTGAATAGAAGAATAAAGATGGCAAATATTAAATGAATTGTAATTAGTATTCCCTAGATTAGCATAAAGCTTTATTTAGGCTAGATCAGTTGAAGGAAGTTTTAAAATATATACTCTTAAGGTAAATCTCTTCCTTTTTGTGCTGCTCATAGTTTGCAGTAAGAAAAATAGCGACTGATATCAAAGAAAAATAAGGGTGGTGGTTATAAATAGAGAAAGGAAGTATTTGACAGGGATTGTCTGTATGTGAGTGTTTTATTCTCTTGTTCCTTTATGGTTCTTTATTGTTTTGGATTTGGTTCTGAAGGAGCTCATCTGTTCCCCAGGAAACACTACGAGTTAAGGACGAGGAGCTACAGAATTTAGCTCGAGATCTCCGTACCCGTGATTCAACTATAAAAGAAATAGCAGAGAAACTATCTGAGACTGCTGAAGCTGCAGAGGCAGCTGCATCTGCAGCTTATTCTATGGATGAGCAATGGAGAATTGCCTGTGCAGAAATTGAGCGTTTGAGGAAAGAGACAGAGAAGCAGTTCGAGCTGTCTGCACAAAAGGTGTGCCATTATGCTGGTGCATTTTAAAATTTCTATGGTAGTTTTTGGGCTGATAGAAATTTGTGTGATTCTCAGTAAAATAATGTGAACATTTCACCCTCAAATATAACTATGGATATTACTTCCAGTGAAATTGTCTTACAAGTTTATTTTGTTGAAACGTTTATTTATTTATTTTGTAGCTAAAAGAGTATGAAGAAAAGACTACAAGTTTGAGCAAAGAAAAAGAGCAGTTAATGAAGCAGAGAGATGCTGCTACTCAAGAGGCAAATATGTGGCGTTCTGAGCTGGCAAGAGCTAGAGAGCATGATGTGATCTTAGAAGCAACTGTTGTAAGGGCAGAAGAAAAGGTTAGGGTTGCAGAGGCAAATGCTGAAGCCAGGATAAAGGATTCTGCTCAAAGAGAATCAACAGCAGTAAGCGAGAAGCAGGAGCTTCTTGCATATGTGAACATACTTAAAGCACAACTTCAAAGGTTCAGCATCTTATCTTCTTTAACCTTGTGTGAAATTAGTATTAACTATGTCGATTTTGATTTTCTGTTCTGACCATGAGCCACTAATTTGGTTCTTTACATGATAGTTATAGATGTTGAACAACAAAGTTGACATACTTATTACAAAAAAAAAAAGTTGAAATACTAGATGATTTTTTTTGTTAACAGAGAACACATTGATTCAACTCAAGTTGTTGAGAAGACCGAGTCTTGCTCAGATACAAAGCATGTGGATTTGACAGAAGAGAATGTGGATAAAGCATGCCTAAGTGTTTCTAGAACTGTTCCTGTCCCTGCAGAGAGCGTAGTCCACGTATCAACAAATCAGGTGAATATTCAGCCTGTTGGAGACAATGAGTGGAGTGATATTCAGGCAACAGAGGCAAGGGTAGCTGATGTAAGGGAAGTGGCACCTGGATCTGAAGGAAACAGCTTGGACATTCCTGTGGTTAGCCAACTCGGTAACAATCACCATGAACAAGGACCAAACTCTTTTCATCAATCCTGATATAATTAATCCACAGACATATAGCATATAGAATACTTTTTACTTGAAGGGAATTTAATCATACCATTTTGTTGGATGACCATGTAAACCACATTCGTTTCAGTTTTTAAGTTCGTGAATCAGGTTGTATTGTACACTTCCCAGAAATCTAGAGGTGTCAAAATGAGTTAAAGCCCACGGGTCAGCCCGCAAAGCATTATATTTGGCCCTAATCTATTAGTGTTTTTTTTGTGGTAGGGTCTTTTTTAGCCCTAATCTTCAAAGTCCTATAATTTAGCGGACTGGGTTAGGGCTGACCCGTGGGCTAAATTTTTTCTTTTATCAAAATTTTCATTATTTGAAAAACAAAAAGTTTATATAAATTTAAAAATTTATAAATATTAGTAAAAATTATTGTGAATTTGATGGAGAATATAAGAGAAAGTGAAATATGAAAGAAAGGAAAATAAAGTGTAGAAAAAAAATAAAAGAAAAAATAAAATAAGAATAAGTATGAGCAATGAGTCCTATATGAGGACCTATCTTAGATGCATTTTTAAACATGGAAGTCATGTAAAAACAAAGTGTCAAATGTTATGAATCATGTGAAAGGTCATCCATAATTCATGTGAAATGTCATCCATAATCTATTTGAAAGGTCATCCATAATATTTTACAAATTTTACAATACCCTTTGGATGTATTCTACAATTCAACACACCATTAGTGTGATGATTATAGAATATATCAAACATCATGAAAAACAAAGAGTCAAATGTTATGAACTATGTGAAAGTTCATCTATAATATTTTACAACAAAAATGAATTTTTCAGTAGTGATATGTTTTAACAGAAATTTTCATCTGCGCATCAATAAAAAAATAAAATTTTCTATTGACATCTAAGCATATTATACATCCAAATTTGTATTGAAACATATTGTATACAATGCACTTTAGTAATTTTGTGGATAATAATAACTATTTTTTTTTTGTAACGGTAGTAGATAAAGAAAATCAATTATTTTACTTTCAAATATATAACATTCTAAGAGCAGTTATTCAATACTGGTATTAAGATAATTTTTCTATCATTACTTTTAGTTAGGGGTGTAAATAGGTTAGGTTAGGCTAGACTTTGTAAAAAACATTGGGTCTGGACTGACCTGTTAGCCTATGTAGGCCCCAAATTACAAGTTTGACCTGATCTATATTTAAAAAAGAAAAGCCTTGGCCTAGGCTTATAACAACAATTAAAAAAAGGGAAAAATGTTTATCTTTTTAAATGACACAACTTATATCATTTCACTCTCACAAAGATGTGGGACCCACACGTCTACTTTTTTTTGTCAACTCTCTCTCCATCATTATCTATCTCTTTTTCTCTCTTAAAATGACACAATTTCACATCTTTTAAAATGATACACACTTTACCCTTAAGAAAATAACTAAAATAATATTATTTTATTATTCAAAATTATTAAAACAATAATTTTATTTAAAATAAATAATATGATATAGGCCGGCTTATAGGCTTTAGCCTATAGCCTGATTTTTTAAATAAGTTTTTTTAAAAGCCTAAGCCTGTTCTATTTTACTATTTGTAATAGGTCAAGTCTGGCCTAACATAGGCTACGTCGTAGGGCCCTGTAGGACGGTCTAGCCTATTTACACACCTACTTTTAGTTTTCCACTATAATTGTTGTATTCTGTTATGACTCCTGATGAGAAAATCTTTATTTGATGGCATCATATTTTATTTTTTTAAAGCATAACTTTTGACTCACATTTTTTTTCAAATAGAAAAATTAACAATTTAATCGTAAAACTTCTGAAGCCAAAACTTTTGACTCGGGTATCCAAATCAGGTAATTCTTTTTTTGATTCCACATAACTTTTCAAGATCTACGCAATGACATCTCATTTGACATATTTTATTTCTCACAAACACAATTTCAATTTGCTAGAATAGTATTATAAGAACGATTAAATCCAGAAGCCTCTGAGTTCTGGGTTTGTGCTTTAATATAAAAAAATAAAGAAAGATTTGGTTTGTGATTTAAATTAAAAATAAAAATAAAAATTATTATTAAAAAGGAAAACAAAATAAAGATTTGATTTGTGATTTAAACTCAAAAATCAATTTGAAAAATTTGTATTAATAAAGAAAATAATTAAATAAATATTCTAAATCTCTAAGGAAGAAGGATTTTATTTTTGAAAAACATCCATAAGCCATCATTAATTTCAGACCACGAATAATAACCCAGAAGCTTATAGCATTAATCATAAATTTCAAAAACCAAATTTTTTTTATAATAAAAATAAATTTTTTTTTTAATTTAAATCACAAATAAAATCTTTATTTATTTTTTAATATTAAATCACAAACTCAGAACTGAGAGGCTTCTGGGTTTAACAGCTCTTATAATATCATTTTTGCAAATTTAAATTGTGTTTGTGAGAAATAAGATATGTCAAATGAGATGTCATTGCGTAGATCTCGAAAAGTTATGTGGAATCAAAAAAAGAATTACCTGATTTGGATACCCGAGTCAAAAGTTATGGCCTTCAGAAGTTTTATGATTAAATTGTTGATTTTTTTTTTGGAAAAAAAAATGTGACACGTGTCAGTACCGGATGAGTGACGCCTAAATTATGCGTGATTGCCTCTTGAGTGACGCCCAATTTTGGCGTGATTGGTGACGCCCAAATTGGACGAGATATTGTACAATAAATGTGTAATTATTTCCAAAACTGTCATAAATTCGTAATTTTTTATTTAAAAAACAATATATCAATTTTTTTTGCCAGCTAACAGATCCGGATTCTCCCACAAAACAACTATGTGCTTAGAAATTTGATCCTTTATCTTATCCCAATTCGCTTGAAAGAAAATAGCTGGAAAACCATCAACACCAGGAGCTTTATAAGGGCCCATGTCAAACAGATTGCTTTTAATCTCATCCTAATTAGGAGTCTTAGCTAGCATTCTCAATTCCTCTGTATTTAAATAAGGCCAGAGATCTTGAGAAGATAACCATCTCCTATTAGAACTTTCCTCTGTGAAAAGCTTCTTGAAGAACTCACAGGCCAAAAGCTTCAAACCTTCCTGATCCTCAATCCAGATATTGACTTCTTTTTTTAATCTAGTAATTTTATTATGGTTCCTTCGAACAATTGTATTGAGATGATAGAATTTTGTGTTCCTATTACCATCTGCAATCCATTGTTGCCTAGACTTTTGTAACCATAGGAGTTCTTCTTCTTCAAGTACCCTTGCTAGATGTTGCTGAAGCTGATTCTCCCTATACTCTAGTCTAGTTGAATCATTAACAAGTCTAGTAGCCTGAATTTTATCAATTTGACTTGTCACTCTATCTTTTTTTCTATGAATGTCACCAAACACCTTTATGTTCCAATTACGCAGATGAGGCACCAGTCTATGCAACATGTATGGAATATCAAAACCATGATCCCAGTAATCATTAAGGAATTGATTAAAACTAGGATGATTTTGCCATGCCGCTAGGAACCTAAATGGCTTATTACCCTTAACATCTTTACGATCCACAAGCTTAAGCAAAATAGGATTATGGCCAGATTTAATCATAGGAAGATGAGTGACTTTGGCATCCTCAAACTCTAATCTCCATTGCATATTTGCCACTATACGATCCAGCCACTTGAAAACTCGATCTAAATGAGTCCATTTTGGACCTTGCCAAGTGAAGGATGATCCTTTAAAACCCACATCTTCTAATTGACAATCTTGTAATATATCTCTGAACTTTTGACATTTAGAGATATTAGGAGATGAACCACCTTTTTTCCCCAACTGGCTACTATTTCATTGAAGTCACCTCCCACAATCCAGGGATTATTTACATTTCTGCCAACACTCCTCAAATCCCCCCATAAACTTTGTCTACCAGCCTCCTTTGGGCTAGCATATGATGTCGTGCACAGAAAAGTACCCCCTTGATTAAGAGTAGCTTTCGTATGAATCATTTTCCTAGTCTGAGATAATGTTTCCACCTGAACCTTTGTTGAAGACCACAAAATCCAAATGCCACCTGAAAATCCTTGAGCTTCTTCTACCCGAATTCTGTCAAAACCACATTTCTTCATAATATTTGATCCTACTTTACTATTAGTTCTAGGTTAAAGAATCACCAAGATAGAAATTTGATGATTTTTAACTAGATTAAAAATAACACGACTAATATTCCTACCAACAGCACCTCTCACATTCCAAAACAGAATAGACATAAATAAATTAAGAAAGGTTTATAGGGTTATAGAGAACATGTGACTCTTCCTCCATGGGCGTATGTATCTCACACTGAACCTCATTTGAGCTTTGATTCTGCGCAGGAAAATCCTGATCCATTTCTTAACGCTCCAAGTCTGGAGGTCTAGGAGCATGAAGCCCCCCAACCAAGTCTATCTGCTTCTTCCTCTCAGGACTGGTATTTGTGGGCTTCCGGTTTGTGTACCTTTGGATTGAAGGGTTCTCTCTCAAATTAGAGAAGTCTTTCATTGCCACTTCTTTATCATTAGTCTCTGTTTTGTTAATCAAAGTATTCCTCTTTCTATTCTCTGAAGTTGTGGCCCTTTCCTCTTCCACGCTTTTATTCTCCAAATTTATTTGGGAAACACTCTTCTTAGCTGTCTCCTTTTTACCTCCAACTAGCTTGAAATTATTTTTTGATTCCACCAACTGAACAACCTTCTTTGATTTTTTTTCTTTTTTCTTTAAGGCCAACTTCTGACTATGCATGCCCTGACCTTCTTTTTCTCCATCCTCTTTATTCCAGTCTTCCTGAGCTTCATCAGTCTCCTGTATTGAGTCACTAATTTCTGTTTCAAGTGCTGCATATCTAGCAAGAGTTCTTTCTGTGACTTGGGGATTAGGGGCCCCATCAAGCCCTTTTTGAATTGAACTATTGCCTTTGAAGCTTCTTTTTTATCTATTCACCAACATCCAAGGACCAAATCTACCTTCCTGAGCATGTTCCCCTGTCTCAGATTCTTGATGAATTTGAACATTAATGCCAAAAGTTCTATCTAGCTCATTCATATTCTGATTTTCAGTAGAAAGCTTCAAACCTTGATTCTGCTGGCCTTTAATTGGGAAAGCTTCAGTTTTATGCCCATACTTCCCATATTAGTAGCAAACTAGGTGAAGCCCCTCATACTCAACCTGCTTGATTTTACCCTC